GGGGTGTCAGGGAGGAGGTAGATTAATGTTCTTGATTAAGAACATTTGAAGAACAAAGCAAAAAAAAAATCTTATTCAAGGTGTTCAACTAAGGGATTTACTACAGGCCACAAATACTCATACAGAGTAGTTAAGCAAATGTTACTCATCTGCATGTTTCAATTAATTTCATAGTTCAAATCACCTTTAGAAAACAAATACTCATACGGAATAGTTAAGGAAATGTTACTCATCTGCGTGTTTCAATTTCATAGTTCAAATCACCTTTAGAAGCCAATTTAACACTGAGTATTTTAAAAGTTGAGTTTGAGTAATTCAATGTTGTGTAATACTATTTTTGTGATATTGTATAGGTATTAATAAATAATACCGTGCCCATTGTAAGAAGCTAGAGAAGTGCATTGCTAGTGGGAAGCATCAGTACATTGTTTCCAATGAATATACTTATAGGTATAGTAATGAGGTGAGTATTGGGTAACTGGACTAAGGAGTGGATTGATTATATTTAATTTCTTGTTTCAGGTTATGTTACAGGCAGCGATATGTTTTTGACAAGGTGAAAATACAGGAGTTTATTTTGTTGCAGAGTTACAAAACAGGTGATGTATCTAATAGCTTAATGTCTAAGTTATAAGAAGCTTAGAATAACAGGAGCTTTACTGTGCTGTTTATAGTCAGCTTTGCTAAATTTGAGGAAACTCAGTTTAACCTAAATATGTAGTAAGTGCATAAGAGTGAGGTTTTCTAAAAGTTAGATATTGCAAACTGGCCAAGTAGTATGCAGTTCATTATAAAGCAGTGATCTTTTCAGCAATGTAGTGTACGTTTACTTTCAAAGTCCCATTCTGTCCCACCCTGAAACAACTTCAGAGCCGTGAGTAGGCTTCATATACAATATATTTATATTGCTGAGGCAATAGATGGAATTTCTTTCCTCTGTCCTCAGTCACATATTTCAAATAGTTGACAATTTAGAGACTGAATTAATGAAATGGTTTGAGGGTTCTGAGAATTATGGGCACATAGACTTAGGGGCAGTGAAGTGAGGAAAATGTTTACTTCTGTTCCCTATAGTGATTATTAGCAATAAAAGGAAAAGACTTTGTTCTCTTTGACTAAAGTAATGTAGAAAAATGATCAAAAAAGTGGGGAAAATTCTTACTGAAATTAATATGCTTTCAGTGAGTAGGCAGTGTACCATGTATGGCCCAGGCATGCTTTGTGGAGTGCTTTCATCAGATGGTCTCTTGTAGCTTTAAATACAAATTTAGGAGACTTGCTTACTGTTCTTTTATATTGTGAATTGATTCTATGCCATTTTGTTCGTTTTCTTCAGTCCTGATACAGAAAGAAACTGGAAGATATCAACAAAGTGTTTTTTCCCTGATATTCAACTCAAGAGTCCTTGTCAAAGTAGATTTTACACAGACTGTTCATAGATTATAAGCTGCTGTGTGACTTTGCATAAAAGATGCACCTTTTCAAATTCCTGCTTCCTTGCTTTAATAGACATCCTTGTGCTTTAAACCAGCCTCCTTGTGAGTATTCAAAGGAAACATGAAAGTAATTTTTAAAAGGAACTTAGGCATTAGTGAACTAAAAAGCGTCAGCAAAACTAACTTCCAAAACCAGAGACTTTGCAAATAGATTTCTAAAGCGTATTTTTTATGGGAGAAGCTACCGTCTTGTGGTTAGGCCCTAGCTATAACTTAGAGTCAAATTCAGCTGCTGATTTTACATCTGTTGTCTGCAGCAGGGCAAATGTGTTCATTCTGGTAACATGCAGATCTGTAAAATCAGTTTCCCTACTGGCAAAATTATTTATGGGAGTGCAAGTATTTGATGCGAGCAAATGCTGTGACAGCGGCAATGTGGGTAATTACAAGTTAGAAACTTGTGTTTCAGAGGATATAATTTGGCTTTTTTTCAGATTTTTCTCAACAGTTTTATTAAAAATATGTATATATTTGATTTACCACAAGCTTTGAGTCCATTTTTAATATGTGACAGCATTCTGTTATACAGTAAAATGCAATGCATTCAGAGCTAGGAAGTATATAGATTCAAAGTAAGTTGCAAACTCTATAGTTTCCTAGAAATGCACTGTTACTTGCCATGTTTGTAACTCCGTTTTAATGAGAAAGCAATTTTGCTTTTTCTTACAATTTGTTACCCTGGCAGAAAGAGTTAGTTTATATCTGTATGATGATTTACTGTTATCTCTTTAGGTTTATTTAACTGGAAGAACAGTGAATAAATGTTTCTTTTCTCTTATATATATGTATATATAAATATATATATATAAAATATGTATTCTTTTGTCTTATATATAATATATAACATTTTATA